AGTTAAGACCTAAATTATGACGAAATTTTAAGTTGACATTAATTTTTGGTGAGATTTTTTAATTGTCATTCTATGAAGATAAAATTGAAATTTCTGAATTTTCTTTTAACAAATTTAAGAATGTAACAATATTTTTTTAAGACACTTGAAAATATTGGAAGCACATTGTTACAAAGGACACGAGAGGCTATAAGGAATCTACATTATCATTTTTTGTGGAAAGAAATTAATTCTAAGCATATTTTTCTTTTTTTTTTAATAAGATCAAATTTTTTAAAAAAAATATATAAAGTGATTTTAGAAACAAAAGTCCAAGGAAGAACTAAGGGCCCACACGGAAAAAAAAATTACATAAATGCAGGTGTGTGAAGGCATTAATGCAATTAATTGGAATCAAAGGGGCACGTTGGTTGGTGCACAAAGTCCAATTGGCTGTATAAATACCACACACAGGCAGAACGAGCTCATTGCTCCTCTAAAGCTCTAATAGCCATTGTAAACAACCATAGCCGAAACCCTGTTGTCCCCAAAACAAACAAACATATATATCTGAAAACCCTAGTTATGGCTTCAGAAAGCTCAACAGTGAAAGTAAACAAACAAAGTTCATCGCTGTCGCGACTCTCGGCTTTTCGCCACATCGGAGTGTGAAGGTTTCTAGGATTAACGTCCAAAGAACCTTGGAAACAATCTATGAAGATGATGAGAAGAAGTCAGTTTTGAGAAATCCGAGGTTGCTTCGCCATCGTCGTTCATACCATTGCAATTGCTTATGGCTTTTGTTCAAGCTACAAGGAGCCCCTTGCCATCACGTAGTCGTAATTGTCAATATTGTGCTTAGCCTCCTCCCAAGCTGTAGATCAGAGTCTCTGTAAGAGCGTGTGAGTATATTATATAATCCATGAATATTAAATCCATTTTTTTTTCAAATAGTTGATATCATGGATAGTGTTATGAGTCCTACGTGCAGAGTGTGAGGGAGGTTTATGTGTTTTCTGTTCGAGGGTCGATGAACCGATAGCGGCAGCTTCCGACATTTCACTCGACCTCTATGATAATATAGGAACCCGGTAATGAAGAGCATGAGCATTAATGAAATGATTAAACCGTCACGAAGGGCCAATGTTTGTTGGGTTTCAACCATATATAATTAACGTCCCGTGTGCCGTAACTTGGGGGGTATGTGTGACCCGGTAGGATCATTTTCAAAGAAAATTATTATTGTACGTAATTGATTCTCCCCATTGTGTGTGTATAGTGCATGACATTATCAATCTAAACAGAATAAAATAATATTCTTTATGTTTCAAAGCATTTATGTTCAAGTTTAATTTGTCTTCTGCTAGAAATTAAATTATTACATAACTTACTTCCTTTAGTCCTATTTACATGATAGAGAAAGATAAGATTTTTTTTTCAGATCTTATTTATAGGTTACCTCATCAAATTTTTGTTATAAATTTCTTCAATTGCTCTCCAAAAATATTGGAGAGAGAAAATAAATTATTAAAGTATGTATATTTAAATGGGATAAAGTTGAGAAATTATTAAATTTTTAAACAGAGTTAATGAGTTTTAATGTTTTCTTTAATTTCGGTAAAACATATTAAAAGTAATTTATAAATAGGATCAGAAAAATAAAATGTAACAAAAAATAATTATTTTTTAGCCTAGACCAACAAGCTTTTATTGTAGTAAAAAGAGTTATGACTGCTTAAATATGAAGTTTTGAGTTTGAGTTTATGTAAATTTAAAAAATTAACACTTTTGGAAGAGCTGCTCTTAATTGGATTTGACAGTGCTTGAATTTGACTTGGTCAAGTAATCATATAAAAAATATACTATTGTAATAAATATGATTCTCTTGTTATCTTAATTATACATTATCTCTTCCTGGAAGTCTATTAGGACCATTTTGAACCCTAGGATGGGTTGGGGTCATGCTTCTAAGGGATGAGTTTAGGGCCGTTAGGAGGGTTTTGAGTCAAAGAGTCGAAAAGGGGCAGGAGCCACAAACAGAGCCTTCGCCAGGGATACCTCATCAATTGGCCCAGGATAAAAGGGTCAGAGATAAGCTCCGCATTTTCAGCCAATCCAGCGCCAGATACGTCATTTTCAACATGACCAACGTTGGATATATGATTCTGCACGATCCCCATTAACTTTACACCAAATTAAAAAAAAAAACCAACCTTTTTCCAATTCATTCAAATAGCCTAACATTGATCATTAAATTTTAAAATAAAACTTAACAAATTAAAAAATATTAATCTTTTCTATAAAAAAAATTAATATTCAATTTGAACCTTAAACTATATGTTTAAAGATAATTTGAACCTCGAACCTTGAACTATTAAAAAGTACATTTTAAATTTTAAATAATTAAAATTGAGATAATTTTTTTCCTATCATTAAATTTAAAGTAATGTTGGTCAAAATGATTCCTAATTTATGATTTTCCTCAAATGAGGACAGGAGGGGGAGGGAGAATAAAATTAGATGAAAATCGCACATTATGCTCCATTTTGACAGACGCTAGCTTAAGTTTGACAATAGAGATAAAATTGTTCAAACTTTAATTATTTATAATTTAAAATATATCTTTTAAAAGTTTAGAATTCAAATTGCTCATAAATCAATGGTTTATGATTTAAATTATATATTAACTATTTATAAAATTAATTAATACTCATGCACCATTGTTAACTTAAGAATATTAGAAGTTCTTGGAGAAAAACTTCATGAATATTTTTATAACTCAACCCTATTTATAAAATGTTATTCAAGTGATGAAGCACGAAACCATTAAAAGCTGCATGGTTAAGAGTTAAAGAGATTTTAGGCATTGCTACTTGACTTTCTAATTCATTGTGCACACAACATTGACGTTCAAAAAAGAGAGACTACGAAGAGGAAATTTTCTAAGAGTTTCCACTTTAACTGATAGTAATCAGACAAAACTAGAAATTTTATACAAGCATGCAAATAATATGATTTTAATGGAAAAGGACATAGATACATACTTGCATCTTTTTGCGGTTCTCTATAGCAAGTTTGATTGCATTGGTTGCTCGAATTCGGTTAACAACCATGATAATGTCAGAATTTGAGCAGTTATCAAGCAATGAACGTAATTCTTCAAAGGTCTTAGGAGCTTCAATTATAAAAGGAATGTCTGACTTTGCTGAAGATTTTTTAGCCCCGAAATCCATCTTCTTGGCATCTGAGTAATCCCTATCCTTTTTAACATGTTCAACATTATCTTTTTTCTTTGCATTTATAAGAACTGTAGCATTCGGCTTCTTCACAGCGTTGCCCCAGTCATGCTGTCCTGCTTTTTTCTCTCGCTCTTCTTCCTCACCACTATCTTCTTCCCCTTCATCCTCTAAATTTGGCTTGACATTCTTTGTCATAATCACTTTGTTCCCAATCCTTCAAAAAATGACTGATTTCATATTCATCAGGATCCTCATCAGAACTTTCAGAATCATCAGAAGCTTCACCATTCTCACCAGCAGAATCTTGTGCATTTTTTTCTTTCAAGAATCTCATCAATCCAGCCCCTTTTGCTCATAGTTTATTCACTAACAGAAAAGGAACCACCAAGTTCATCCCCAGAGAGCAACTTTGGTTCGTTGTTTTTTTTTTTTTTTTTTTTGGGCGGATTTTCTGAATTTTCATCATCTTCATCACTTGAAGAGTAAACTGGCAAATGTTACAGTCATCCATTTCTAAAAGCCAGCTTTGCCAAGCATAAGGAATTTATAAATACCTCTAATCGCTCTAAGCGTTCTCTTTCCTCTTGAGCAATCTCTCCAGGAGTCTTTGTCCTGTCTGAGGGGCGAGCTCTCATTTACAATACCAATTCTTTGACAAGTTCGTCATAAGCATCAGGTTTGTCCTGCCATAAAGAACAAATAGGATATTGCTACAAGAAGAAACTCTCGGGGCCTACAAAAATCTTCTGAGTACCAGATAAACTATTTGTTGCTAGGTTCAATTGTAATACTCTTGTTCACCAGAGCCTCCAAGGAATTCACCTTCCTGGGTACCGCACCGTCAGAGATAATAATGCTTTAAACTGAATTAAATCAGTGAATTTCTGATCTAAATCTTCCACCAACTGTTCATTTTCTTCCTCTTCTTTTGCTTGCTGAGCCTGGAACATATTAAAGGAAAAGGATATGTGAGCATATATAGATTATAAATAAACCAATAGCCATTACTAAAGAAAACCCCATACCTTGAAAAAATTGCTTTTTGAGATAATTTCGTCCATAATTTCGCAGGTGATAAAAGTATCTATCAATCATGTGATACTCCTTCCATCGTTCAAGTTCCACGCCCAATCTCTGCTAGATTTGGAACATATCCATATGATCTTAACAGCATTGTCAATCCTCTCAATGTCCTATATATATCCTCTGTATCAGGGTGTCTCTCATCTAAGGAATAAAATTCCACCACATTATCATTGACCTCTATCACACTACATCCCGGTTGTTTCTTGAACCCAGTATCTCTTATTGCAACCTTCAATCGTGCAACATCTTGCCATCTTCCAAGATCCTTATATATGTTGGAAAGCACAACAAAGTTTGCAGGGTTGTTTGGTTCAAGATCAATGAGCTGTTGAAGAGCCAATTCAGCTAAATCAACATTCTTGTATATTCTGCATGCCCCCAGTAGGGAAGCCCATATAACTGAATCTGGTTTCATTGGCATCTTCCTCACAAAATCTATAGCCTGGTCTAAAAGACCAGCTCTTCCTAGTAAATCAACCATACATCCATAATGCTCAATTTGAGGGACAAGTGAATAACAATCCACCATTGATTGGAAGTATGAAAACCCATCTTGGACTAAACCCATATGTGTACAGGCAGCCAAAATTCCAACAAAAGTAACCCCATCTGGTTTTTCTCCTGCATTCTTCATCCGATCAAACAAACTCAAGGCATCAACAGCATGCCCGTGTATGGCTAGGCCATTGATGATGGTGTTCCATGTAATTATATCTTTTCTATCCAGAGTGTTGAACACATCAATTGCACTTTCTATATTCCCACATTTTGCATACATGTCAATCAAAGCATTTCCAACAAACTGGTTTCTTGTTAGACCAATACCATCTGCATACATATGCACCCACTTACCCATATCAAGAGCTCCTAATCTTGAACATGCAGACAGCACCGTAACAAGTGTTGCATCATTAGGAAGCACATCAGCTTCAATAAGCATCTGTTTAAAAGAATCCAATACTTCAGAAAAACGTCCATTGCGAGCATAACCTCCAATCATTCCATTCCAAGAAAAGACATTTCTTTGAGGCATATCTTTGAACAACTTCTCACAGGATTCAACATCCCCATTAGTCGCATAACCACTCAATATTGTGTTCCATGACATAATATCCCGGTTGGGCATATTATCAAAAACTTGTCTTGCTGCTGCCATATCACCCAATTCTATATAACCCGAAATCATAGTGTTCCACAAGATGATATCACGCTCTGGTGCTAAGTCAAAAAGGCGTCGTGCAGAAACTATGTCATGACAACCGACATATGCATTAATCATAGAAGTCCATGCAACTACATTCCTATCAAGCATCCCACCAAACACTTTATAAGCAGCTCCAACTGACCCCCTAGCTGAATACATATCAATCAATGTGGTTGCCACAAATGGATTTGATTTATAACCTCCTTTTATTACAAAACAGTGAACTTCTTCTCCTTCAGTTGTTGCATTGACCTTCCCACAAGATCTAAGAACAATGGGAAAGGTGAAGCAACTAGGCAGTGCGCCGGCTCTATTCATTTGAAAGAACAGCACAATGACTTCCCAGTAAGAATCATTTTGTGAATACCCTCTAAACATGGCATTCCATAGAGCAGTGCTCCGATCAGGAATTTGATCGAACGCCTTTCGGGCATAGGCCATCTTCTTGAGTGCTGCACAAGCCGTGAAGAACGTTGGGGTGACGTACTCATTTTCCTCAAATCCATGGGCAATTATCTGACCATGAATCTGGAGGAGTTGTTTATGGGTTCTACATGACTGTAGAAAGGAAATGAATTTTTCTTCGAGTACTCTGTGCGGTGGCTTCTGAACTAAACTCAACAGAATGTTCGCTATTTTCCAGAATAAGGCAGCTAGAAGCTTCTCATAGAGCGAATAAATCACAAAAATATAGGATGAAAACCAGCAATGGAACCAAGCTGCTACGCGACGTATGGGAGTTTCATCCGGAGGGACTGGAGACGAACCCAAACTTTCAGATGTTAAATAAAGTAGTTTCAGTTACAATCAAATGTTTCAACTTTCAGGACTATTCATATTATATCTCAAGCACTAAAAAGCATGTCAGTGATGAACGAAAGGGAAAAAAACGGATCACTCTATTCTTTTGATTGCAATACTCAGCAATACAGACATTATGAAAAAATTGGGGGCCAACCTTCTTCCAAAATCAACAGCTGAGAAACAGAGAGCAAACGCAGGGAAAGATAGAAATAGAAACTAGCAGAGAGCGAGTAGACAGACTGAAAAGGAAAAATAACACCACATCAGAGGGGGATAAAAAACAGCAGCGAGAGCGAGCAGACAGAAGAAATAAAAAATGGAGAGGAGAGAATAAATGAGAACGAGCAGCGCATAGAGAGGAGAAACTTGCGGTAAACCAATGGTGATGGCGACTGGGGACGGCCGCCAAGACAAGTGCGTAGGCCGAGGGAGGTGCGGAAGAAAAGAGAAGCCGAGAAGGTGTTGGAAAGGCTTGCGTTGTGAGTGAAGCGAGGCCTATTGCTAGCTTAAAATCGTTTATTGTAATAGTGCTGTACAAAATGATGAAAGGCTGAAAAGGGGAAGCGGACGAAGTTGGAAATTGGGGATATGGCCAGAACCGAGAAATGGGCTCCTAAACCCAATTTCTCTAAAATTGACTTTTTTTTTTTTAAAATCAACTCTTATTTAAAGAATTCAGCAGTACTCGTGAATCCATTTTTTTAAAAAAAAAAAATTGTACGATTGCATTTTATTTTTTAAAAAAATTTGTACGATTGTGATACTCAGGATTAGTATTTTAAAACTCAAACCGGTGGTGGTTTTTATAGTTCAATCAGTTAGACTGATGGTCAAATCGATGACATAAAAATTAAATCAAAAATAATATTTATATGCACAAATATATAAATAAAACATTAATTTTTTGATCATGATTGGGATCTCGACTTTGAAGACTAGATGCCTGGATCGTTGGAGTTGGAGGCAGAAGCATGTTGGTACAAGCTCGCAATTTCAAAGGAAAACACTGGAGTTGGAGGCATGTTATCATGTCACAACTCACAAGATTTTGATCTTGATGTCAAAGGCTGGACCATTAGATCTTGAGGCAGAAGTTGGAGAAGAAGTCAAAGATTGAGCATGAGCCATAAAAAAGAGATTAAAGATTAGAGAAGAAAAGATAAAAGAGAATTAGTGATGAGAAAAGAGAAATTGTGAATCTCAACGACTTAACCTAAATTTATTTTTTTATATTTTTTTTGCTTTGACTAGGTTGACCTGCTTCAGTTTTCAAATTAAAGTCGATTCTCTCAAAACTAGCCTAGTCAATTTGGGTTAACCCAGTTTAAATGCCAGTTTAAAAGAGGCCATGGCCATATCCTGTTTACATTCAGTGAAATACAGCTAGACAAATGGGTTACGATTTGGTCTGCGTGAGCCAGGATTTTGGCAGATTGCATTCAAGCGAACCCGCCAAATAAACGGGCTGGGAAAACACAAAATACACCATTTTTTCTGGAATGATTTAAAAAATATAATCAGCACATAGTAACTAGAAATATAAATGAAGGTTAGTTTAACAGTATTTGGCTATTTGCTACTTTGCTAGAACTAGTAAATCTGCATCAGAATCGCTATTAGATATTGCCCATTTGTTACTCATAATTGTTGCTTGGACAGTGGACACCAAGGCGGACATGTGGTTCAATGTTAAAAATTTATTCTTCTGGAATCTGCGAATTCTCTATTGCTGCCATTAGGAACGCCAACAGAATGATCTTCAAGGAGATACTGCACCCTTCTTCCATACCTCTGATCTCTTCTCTGTGCAAGCTTCTTAAAATCCCAGAAAGTCCTTTAATTTGACTTCAGCTTGTGGGAATGCTGTTCTTCAGTCACCACGACGCTGGATTGATTCCAGTGCTATTCGACGTGCAGCTTCAGACGCTGATGGTGGCTGGAAGAAATTTATAAAATTATCTTCTTCTTGGGCTGATTATAGGAGTGATTTATAATCAGCATATCATAACTAAAGCAAGTCGCTAGAGTTAATGATAGAGTATCTTATAGTCTAAATAAAGAACCAAACTTAGATGGAGCCTACACGGATCGGAGGAGTCAATCGAAATGGGGAAAATTTTGTTCACGTGAAACTTTTCTTCCATGAAAAATATTTCCTTCGGCGTTGAGTTAGACACCAAAAGGAAAAGTAATTAAACGAAACTTGTAAGGACGGGAGACACGAGAGAAATGGGGACGCCATGTGAGTGTTAGTTTATTGTTTTTGTGTTTTTTTAAAAAGGGGCTAACCCATGAGTTTTTTAATGGCTCATTTTGCTGTCCCATTCCACCAATTTCAAAGGGTTTGTAGGCTAGCTCGTCGAAATAAGATCGTTTTCCTGGCTTTACCATGAAATGATCCATCTCTACGTCATTTCAATAGCTGTGGACTCCCTTGGCATCAGCTGAGAGCACCACGTCGCCCTTTTGTTTCGGCGTACTGTTGGGTAACAGTATCAGCCCAGTTCATCACGATAAACCACTGGCAGAATTTAAATTCAGTACCTCTTATTACCCAAAAAAAAAAAAAACAACTCAATATCTCTATAGAGACTTAATTTTAAGTGGATCTAATTTTTTTTTAAAATTTCAATTCAATCTAGAGAAAAAAAATTAAAAAAAATTCATCAATGAAAAGACTAAAATACCTTTCACTAGTTATGTAGAGTCATTAGTTATTAATTTTTTTACTCCACTTGTTAATTTACGAATATGAATTGACATGTCAATAATTATATAAGAATTTATATCACTTTTTCAATTATAAGCAGCAACATTAGTTGTTAAATTATAAATTTTACTTATTAATTTATTAACATCAGTTATAAATTATTGATAAGTCTTGTAATTTACAAGCGTCAATTATAAATTACTGATGGGTCTTGTAATTTAAAACTAATGCTAGTAAATTAACAAATCAAGTAAGCAAATTAACAAATAATGTTATTGATTGTCTAGTAAATGAATGTAATTTACAAGTAATATTAGTAAATTAATAAGTGTAGTAATAAAATTAACAACTAATGATTCTACATAATAAGTAAAGGGTATAAGTAAAGGGTAAATAGTCTTTTCACTAGCGAAGTTCTTTTGACTTTTCTCCCTTTGACTATATTGATATTTTAAAATTTTTTTGAACTCACTTAAAATTAAGTCTCTACAAAGGTACTGAACTAAAATTCTCCCTAAACCACCCTATTGGCAAATCGCCTTGACCTCAAATTGGTTGAAGAGGAAGCCTATTGTGTCCTTTCCACACTAGTGTATAGGGCTACACAAAGTTCTGACTTGACAGGACTTCTGCCTAATCTAAAGTCTAGTTCTTTTTATGAAAAGGACTGAGTTAAACAACCCATGATTTGATTTAGTCCTAGTATAACCTTAAGCAAAACAGGATTGGACTGGTTAAGTAGAGTTAAGAGACTGGTCTCGATCTTTTCCAGTATCTCATTTTGTTTTTTCCCCTTTTCATTTATGAAAGGTAGCAATTTATTTCAATATAACAAACTCAATTAACATAATAAAATTTCTTATAGTCATATAAAATTTATCACAACAACAATTATAAATCCACAATAATATCTAACAAAAAAAAAGTATTTCAGTTACAACACAAATGATTCAAATTAAATAACCTTTAATAAGATTAAACAACATTCAACATGTATAGAGTCCATTACACCAAGTTAGTAACAAATTTCACCAGTAAAAAGAGAAGACTGAGGTTAGTCAATACTAAAATTTTGTTCAATATTCATGATTTCACAAGTATAAAACACAAAAAATTAATAATTATTATAAATTAACTTATTATAATAATAATTAATAAATTAATTATAATTATATTAAATAAATTTATAGGATTATATTGGATCAAGTGGTCCAGATATTCAATCTCTTATTCAGTCTAACCCAAAGAAAGAGTCTGAATTTTTTATCTTTTTAGTCTTGAAAAATCAAATTTTATCTGGACAGGATATGATGAGTTTGGCTTAAATTGGATTAGATCGGAGGACTATTACACAGCCCTACCGGCACACATTGCAACTCTAAGGGTTTGATGTTCTTACATAGCTCCAAAGATCAATAACATTATGCCATTAAGTGAAAGTCAATCTTAATTAAATCAAAAGTCAATATATCCATGTCTACTAGTCAAAGAATAACATTGCAGTGATTTTGGCACTTGAAAGGAGATATTGCTTCAGTATAATTTATAATAATCAATGTTATACAAAATACTTCTAAAACAAAAGTTTCTTTTAACCCAATTTTTTTAATGTTGATATTTTTCTCTTTCATTTTACATGGGGCGAAATATCTAGTGAATATGATTATTTGGTCATCAATATAAATTATAATTATTCACAAGCCATAATCAGTCCTAAATATCCCAAACCTTGTGTGCCAATGTACAATGCCCACTATACTTACTATCCTAGAAATGATAGTTTAAATCAAAAGAAATGAAATTACTAAGGTTAGAGACATCCAAAATAGTTCCATATGAATCAATGAATAAGAAAATACTTTATTCTTGCTTTCTAATCGCAAATTTAACCAAGATTGACATCTTAAATTAAAAAAAATCATATTTAAACTATTTATTAATAATTTTTAAGAAATTAAAACAATTACGCCATTTACATTTTTGCAATGTTTGGAAGTTATCAAATTAATAGGATGGGCATTCATATCTTGTGTTCCATAATGTTTTCCAGGTTGTTAAGCTTTAACTACCATGCC